GTTTAATCTGAGTTTAAAGTTCTTTTAAACTGATTATTTATTATAAGCTGCTTCTTAAATCAAATGTAAATTCTTTACTGAAATCTCATTTATTGATACTACATAAGAGTATTAAACGAAAGCAAACGGCTTTCTGTTAACGAAACGTTATTTCTTGAATTGTAATTTGTTATTTTAAAATGTTAATGCGCATAGTAAATTAATTTGTGAATATTGTTTCACTGAATACATGTTTTGATGTTAAAGTTTGAATATATTCATGGACGTTGTTCATTAGAATTTATTAGTTTCGCTTCTGACATACAGCAGCAGATGTTTTACCCCCGCGGAAATGTTTATACTAGCGATGATTTATGATGTGTTTACGTCAAATCTTTTATTATTTTTATTTCCTTTGAGTGCTGTTGTTCCTTATTAAATGTTTTATTCTGCATAAAATAAAATATTGTACTTGTTGATTTATCTTTCGACGAACATTTTGAGAAAATGATTATAGTATAATACTTTAAGAAAATATAATTGTTTTCAATTTAATGAATGCATGTCTTAAAAAATATTTCTTGAAGCGAAAGAAAATAATTATGAATAAAATCGAATGACTATTAAATAAGTAAAATGAGTTACTAAGTGTGTGTTGCTTAATCAGCTTAATATTTTGTTAAGATTAAGATTTCGAAGAATTCAGCTTAAATATAAAAGCTTATGGTAAGACATTTATGTATGTTTTGTATGTTTGCTAACTAGTAAACAATTTTGAGCAATTTATTATATGTTATTTTCTTGATACAAGTTGAATTTATGAGGGCATTTTATGATTTTTTACGACTTCGAAATAATAAACTTTGTGAATATTATTGTTTACATTTATAAATACTGTTTAATAGTGGTATATAAATGTACGAGTAACATTGTTTACATTCAACATGCGTTTAATAGGGTTATATACATTTTACTTAAAGGTATAATTATTAATTCTAAAATACTGTATTGTGAATAAAAATCGAAATAAACAACAATTCAACTTCATCTTTTCCCTCCCCCCTGACCTCTCATATAATTATGGCTTACCTTGCCAAAGCACGAAAAGAGGATTTAAAAACTCTCGCTGCAGAACTGGGTTTCACTGTAAAACGACCACTATGCGAGTAATAGATCTTAAAGATCTTATTGTCAATTCTGACACTTATGATGAGGCTTTTACCAGGAATCTTCTGGAAACTTTAATCGAAAACTAGACAACAAAAACAACGTGAAAGCAACGATCTGGAGACAGTCAAAGAAAAGAACAAGAACTTTTATTAGAATTGGAACGTTTAAAATTAAAACCTGGCAGCTGCTAGCTCATATCCTGGCTATGCCGCCTTTGCTTCAAATGCAGCTATTGGAAACAAATATTCAACAACCTAATTCCCTAAGTTTACAGGAAACGTTCTGAACACTGCAGCCTACCTGTAAATTTTTGAAAGAACAGTGTGAGAAAAGGTTAATATAAAACAAATAGATTACATCACTCATCTCCTACCCCTTCTATATATTCCCTATCTTATGAACATTTCGCAAATTATTTTAAGAAGAACCAAAAGGACTAATTAGAAGATTATTCGATACATCAAAGAAGATTCTGCTACCAAAGATTTCAAATTAAATGCTGAATCATTTCGAATTAAACTTACTACACACCAAAAACACCCTGGGTCTTTATGGAAAGATTTTACTTACGAATTAAAAAATTATCTCGAAGAGTGGCTCCATAGTCTCGATGTTACAGACTTTGAATCACTCAAAGACTTGGTCCTGACGGATCAGCTTAAAAGAAGAGTCAGTAGTGACGTTAAGGAGCATTTTATTGATACTTGGGGGAAAAAAAGAGTTCATCTGAATTAGTACAGAAATTGGATGATTATGAAGCTGTACGTGTTTAAAAAAATACGAACTATAAAACTCAACTTCCTGGCAGGCGAAACTATTCTTACAAACCGACTAATCCATCCAACACAAAGTAGAAAATCGAACAAGTGACATACAGGAAACTCATAAAAAACCTTTTCAAATCGTGTTCAGCAACAAACAGAGGAAAAGCGACCTCCTTTAATATGCTATGGGTGCGGAAAAACTGGTTTTATCAAGTCTAAATGTCCAGACTGTAACCCCCCAAAGACTTCAAATTCATCAAATTTTGGCAGTATCCAAATCCGATCCTGTTTATCTTCCACTCGGACTGCTGTATTTCCAATTAGTATTGGTGGTGTTTCCGGTACAGCTTTGGCCGACACTGGTGCTAGTCACTCAATTGCAAGTGAATCCCTCTATCATATTCTGCAAAAACAAGATGCAGTATTTGAAAAGACAACACTACAAGTGTCTTTCGCTGATGGTTTGGTATCTGAAAAAGAGGGTACTTCGCACCGAACAAATCATTCTTCTCGAAGGCAGAGAGTTCAAAACTCCGCTCCTTGTGTTGCCTGATGCCAAAAATAACTCGACTCTGTTAGGAACTGACTTTCTTCAAAAGCTAAAATTGTTTTAAATCTTGCTGAAAATAAGTGGAACTTTTCTGATGAACCTCGAAGAAAAATATAGCTTCGTGAAACCTCATCAATCCCAAGTACTGGAAGAAACCCCAGTTGTTGTAAACAACTGCCAACTACGAGAAAACGAAGGAGAACAATTAACTACAGCCCCCCAACGGCTTGCAACTGATGCATTGCTTAACAAATATCACACTGTCTTCAAAGTAGGGGGAGAAGCCACTAATCAAAAGCCATCTGGCTTACTTCAAACTTCCAGTCCTATGCTCAACGTTTTGAAGACCTTGTCAATTGATCTTTTCGGTCCCCTTCCTGAAACACCGTCTGGTGAAAAATGGATATTTATTGTGCAGGACTGTGCTACGAAGTGGACAGAACTATTTGCTTTAAAGGAAGCCACGGCCAGAGAATGTGCCACTATTCTTTTGGAGGAAAAGTCGCCCTTCGATTTGGGATACCCAGGAAAATAATAAGTGATAATGGTACCCAGTTTACTAGTGCTTGTTATGCAACAACTATGCTATATCTTGAAACATTGATCAAAGTCTTTACTCCTGTCTATCACCCACAATCTAACCCAGTTGAAAAAGAAGAATAGAGATCTTGAAACCAGCGTTTAGCAATACTTGTTGGTAACGACCATCAGTCATGGAAGGATAAACTGCCATTAATAAGGTTTGCTTTGAATACAGCCAAATGTGATTCAACTGGACATTCTGCTGCTTTTCTTCAATTTGCACGAGAGTTACGAACCTTAGATGATGTAAAGCATGATATAAAAGCCGTAATTGAGAACGATAATTTTGTTCCCCGAAATTACTCCATATTTGAAACGTTTTGCAAGAAATGTACAAACAGGTACGAGAAGAGTCGAATTGCATCAAGATAAACAGAAACGTTATGCTGACAGAAAACGAAGAGAAACACCGAAATTCGTTCCTGGAGATAAAGCTTGGGTCACCCTCCACCCAATCATCAAAGGTCCAATGAAGAAAACTGCTAAATTCATGCCCAAGAGAGATGGTCCTTATGTGATAGTGACTACAAGATCTCCAACCACTAAAAGATATGTGATAGATAAAGATCCGATTTAAATACTTATTTGTTCCGGGCGGATGACGTACACAATACCATTTCTGTAAGGGAGATATTGCCGATCCTCACGAACCAGATAAAATCCTCGGCAAGTATCATGTTTCAGCCTTGAAACCATATCAAGATCGAAATAAGCAAAACTCAGCTCGTGTAATTCCAGTGGTTCCCTTAAAGAAAAGAGGACGCCCGAAACGTGTAATACCATCCGAATCTGCACCTGTTGCACAAGGTGCTGGTGACGCAAAATCTACTCCTCGTCAAACTGGAGCCCGTCCATCTGATTCTCCGCCCGCTGCACAAAGTAGACAAATGTCAGTTCCTGACTTCTTGCCGAGACGTCTACGAAAGTCAGAGGGGGAGGATGTAACAGACCTATTTAAGTGTAAATTGAACTATTTATTCATGTCATGAACTGTAACCGAACTATTTTATTTAAACGCCATCTCGTGGCGATATGAAAAAACGTCAGTCGACCTCCAGCCGCCATGATGATAGCTTACTATGTTATGTTATTCTCAATGTTTGATGTTCCATTTGGTTTCATTTTTATGTAAATTTCTTTTGTTTGTAACCGTTCCTGTGTGCTCTGTTAATAAATCCTTTTAAAGCTAGCCGGCATTTGTGTCTATTGAGGAACGGCTACATCACAGTTTGTGATATTTCTGCTGAACTGAATTTTATGGTTTAAGTGCGAAGAACATAATTTTTAATAATTAAAGGTAACACACAAAACGTTAAAAAGCTTCTTGTTAAAACGTTAAAAATCTGAAAGCTTTCAGATTTTTATTTATTTATTTATTTGGTGACATTTCACTTGGAGAGTCTAATAATGAGATAAAGGTTTCGAAATAGAAGAATTTCGCAACTTTATTCTGTTTGTCTCCCCATGAGAAACCATGAGATCGAAATCGATAGTGGTTAAAAATGTATGCGAACCTAAGGTTGCTTTTTTGCATATTTTTTTAAATCATAAACACCAATTTAAATTTTTCTCATTCCCTTTTTTAAACTCATTTAATACGGTACTTTGTTATTATTCCCGAGTGTTGAAATTTGAATGGAATTGCTTACATAGATTTCCTTGCATGGCAAAACATTCGCGTGGTACTTCGAGTTGAGATGACCTCATACATAAAGCCCATAAATCCTTGTCGTATAAAGCATATAATTTTATGCGAAGAAAGTCGCTAATCCTAAAAACATCCTGGGAAAAAAAGTTCTCGCACAGACCTCTTCAACGTATGTAATCCTGCATAATAAACAGTCGAACTTTTGTTCCGTTCGTTTTTAAATCTTGCGAACACGGGTCTACCGATTGCAATTGTAAAGTATCTACTTTCATGATAGTTTCAAACCGAGATCTGTTTCTTTGTCTAGATCTTCATGTTGAACCCCACTGACGGAGAAACAATAGAAGAGGTTGTTTTCTTGCTGATCCCAAATCGCCTTGTGGAACAATCGTCTGTTCTTGTTTCAACTCCCTCGGAGAGAAGACATTTTGCTTCTTTTGTTTTATTTATCCAGAACGCAGGCATGTGTAGCTAGTTAGTTGGTCCAAGGAACCCAGGTAAAGTTGCAAATAAAAGATCTCTTTTTCGGTATTTTTTATTTTATGTTCGAAATCGTGAATTGGAGATGAAAAATTTCATTCTTCTTCTTAGCGATCCGTGTTTACATCAAAACGGCAAAGAATATGTAATAATTCTTTTCCTTCCCTTTCCTTTTGATTTCGAATTTCGCTTTTCTTTCAATACGCATTACTGAACACGGAAGCTATAATGCACAGTAAAAAATATTGAAACTTAGTCATAATAATTTAATGTTTTCTAAAAATATTAAGATTGTAGGTTATTTTTTGACATTCATTTCTGCATACAGTGTCTCAAAAAAGTGATGGGACACTTGTGCTTTACAAAAGGAAACTGCAATAAAATAAATTTAAAAAACTTGTAAAATTTTTTGGTGTGTTTCATACTTAAATTTAGTAACAATTATTACATAACATACATTTTCTCAAAATAATAAAATATTAATTTAATAAAAATACAATTGTTTAGAACGGAGCAGAAAATGGCTCACATAAGTGATAGGACACTTACTTTTCCATCAAATATTTATCCAAAAAATTTACTTTTTAAAAGGTTTTAATATTTTGTTGGATTTCCGTTTACTTTTAAAACATGATTTAATCTTCTTGGGATGGATTCGACTAATTTTTTTGTGATTTCAGGAGTGATTTTACCCCATTCTTCTTAAAGCACCGATTTTAATTGTTGTTTTGAAGAAATGGTGTGTTTGCGAATTCTTGATTCCAATTCTTGCCAAATATTCTCTATGGAATTTAATTGTGGAGATTGTGGGGGTGTTTTTATTATTTCAGAACAGTTATACAGCAGCCAGAGTCTAACGTTCAAAGCACTGTGCTTGGAGTCATTGTCCTGGTAGAATTTAAAATCGTTATGAAGGTTCAATTTTCGTGCTGAAGATTTCAAATTTTGATTTAAAATGTCAATATACTTGAATTGATCCATTATACTGTCAATAAAAAAAAAACAAGATTACCAACTCCAGCGGACGACATACACCCCCATACCATAAACTCCTCCTCCACCATGTTTTACTGTTGGCACCAAGTTCTGTTTGCGAAATTCTTCCCTGGGTTTTCTCCACACCAAGATTCTACCGTCAGAACCAAATATATTAAATTTACTCTCATCAGCAAATATAACTTCATTCCAGTAATCAGAATTCTTATTTATGTTGGATTTTGCGAAAGCCAGTCTGAGTTTTCTATTATTTTCACTTACGAAGAATTTTTTTCTGGCTGCTCTACCGTGATATCCAGTAGATCGAATTACTCTTCTAATAGTCTCAGAATTAACAATTACTCCATATAATGCTTGTAAATCAGCAGCAACTTTAGGAGCACTCATTCTTGGATTTTTTTTTTTTTTTAATATTTCGAACGATAATTCGCTTTATTCCATTGGATAGCTTTGATGGTCGGCCAGGTCTTCTTTTATCCTGAATCATATGATTCTTTTTATATCGTTTAATGATATTGAAAACTGTTGAATGACTGAAGTTAACTGTTTCAGTAGTTTCTCTAATAGATTTTCCACGTTCAATATGCAAATTAATCACTAATTTTCAAATTCCAGGCAAAGTTTCTTTTCGTTTAGCATTCATGGCTGCACAGAGCTAAAAAACACAAAAATTCCAAAACAAACTGGATAGAAATACTGCAGACGATTTTATAAATTATTGACAATTGCTTTTGAGTAAAAATAAATACCCCAAAAGATATTTTTATTGCTTACTTCAGACGATTTTTGTTGCATAGTACGTGGTGTCCCATCACTTAAGTGAGCCATTTTCTGCTCCGTTCTAAACAATTGTATTTTTATTAAATTAATATTTTAATATTTTGACAAAATATATGTTATGTAATAATTGTTACTAAATTTAAGTATGAAACACACCCACAAAAAATCTTACATGTTTTTTAAATTTATTTTATTGCAGTTTCCTTTTGTAAAGCACAAGTGTCCCATCACTTTTTTGAGACATTGTATTTAATTTTATTCTAAAGCAGTGCATTCAAGAATTAATTTTTAGTTAACATTCGCAAACTGCAGAATTTAATTTTACCTTTACATGGTTTGCAGCAGTAAAGCCACGAAATAGCAATAGAACCGTCCATTTCTGCACATTTAAATTTAGTCTAAGGCAGTGCGTTCAAGAATTCATTTTTAGTTAACATTTGCAAACTGCAGAATTTAATTTTATCTTTACATGGTTGGCAACAGCAACAGAACAGGAAATGAAACGCTTTCTGAAGTTTTTCTCCATTCCTTAATAGATAAAACTTTTACTCGTCGCATTAGCTTTTTTCATCACAGAAGAAAGAAAAAAATTACAGTGTCATCAAAACTCGATGAATCATTGTCAACCGAGTTTTATCTTTAACTTTTCTTTCACAATGTAATAGTCTACCAGAATAGCATAAGAATATACACAATTCCTATACATTTATTTGCATAATTTAATATAATAATAAGGATATAAATCTATGTCATATGAATGGATGGTGTTTTGGAGTTGCAGATAGTTTTGAATTACTAATTATTCCGTAAGAACTAATTTTTCCAAATTATTAATTTAAATCTGCATATTTAGATGAATTAAGTATATAAATGAAACTTTTTAATAACAGCAGATAATTTTTAGACTTCTAACCCTGGCAAACATGACAGATTTGGTTAAAAAATCCATATCATTATTTCCATAATTCTTTGTGTTGAATACCTATCTCACTAATGAAAATGACTTAAGTTACAATACATTATTCCTATAAATTGGCTAGTTGCCTCAAGTGTTCATCTTTTTACTCATATGTCTAATAAAAGCTAGTCCATAAGAGCTTCTTTAAATTACAAATGCAGAACTTTCCCAAAGGCATCCTGTTTCATAGTAGGTGGCTTTAAAGTACTTTGACATACTTAAAAATTACAGCCAATGCTGCTTTCTTTATTGTCCTAATAAATGTAACAGTAGCATTTCCAAGTAATGCATATTCCAATTATACATTTTGTAACTCATAAATTCGGTTCTTGAACTTAGAGATCATACTAAAATATTCGTTTCCAGGTGAAAGAAGTTACATGTCTTATTCCTTTTTTAATATTCATTTTCAATAATGATAATAATAATAAATAACTTCAGATACTGAAATGTTGCCGGTCATTACTGGAAGCTTCAGGACGTTCATAGATTACAAGTTATAGAGACATTATTTTTAAAGCAGGAGTAACTGAAAAATGAGCACTGCCCTCACCGGGACTCGAACCTTGGACCTCTCGAATACTCGACGAGTGTGCTATCATTACACCACGAAGGCATGCAGAAATGAGAAAATGCCTTATATACTCCCCCCTTCTAAAAGGGCGACTGGGGATTAAGGGACCCTGTCACCAAATCCTGATGGTGAAGAATCATCCTCCACCATCTTTCTTTAGTTCGGACGCCACTGTAGAGACATTAGGTATTTTTGAAGCAGGAGTAGAACCCTGGACTAGAACCCTGGACTTCTCGAATACGCACCGAGTGTGTTGTCATTATACCACCAAGGCATGCAGAAAGGAGGGAGAAATGCCTTATAAAGTAATGAAAGAATACTTCTAAAAAAGAACTCTGTTTGCTAACTAGTATAAATTACGAGAACCAATTATAGGATATCTACAGAAATAACGAAGTAATATTTCTATTTCTAGGACTAACGTCTGAATGCAGAAAATGCTACTGTTTTTCCTCTTAGTAGATTAGTAGGGATGCAAAGAAACTAAAAAAAAAAGAGATTAAATCTAGTTAATAAGATGTTTCTTGTAATATCTTCTCAGAATTGTATTTGTCAGATCTTCATATCAAAGGGAATAAAAGTCTTTCTGAAAACAATGAAAGGATAAAGAAGAGACTCCCATTTTCTGAAGGAGAGAATTTATGTTTTTTAAAAAATAAAATTAACGAAGACATCTTTATTTATCCTCAGATTAAGAAACTGCATAGCTTGAGTTACAAAGGCATTAAATGAGATATATGGATATTCTTTAAACAAATTTTACGAGCTTCTTGAGTAATCGAAAGGGAATCTATAAAAACTTAATTAATGAGTTTTCGAAACACAAAAACAATGGAGCGTTACATATCGCTTAATATTCATCTGTTGGATTCCTGGTTTGAGATTTTTGCATAGAACTTAGCGTGACGAACATAAAAAAGTTTATATCAGGACTTATATTCAATAAAAATACGTTGCAAAGGAAAATGAAATTTTAAAATGCCAATTGGTTGCTAACAAACCTTTAAAAATTATGTATCAGTATCGTGCAACGCGTATCTTAGGTGCATTGAATATGCAGTAAATATGGCAATGGCGTAACTGCAGCAAGGATTCCGCCCCCACCCCAAAAGAAATGCAGAAAGAAGTGAAAGGACGAGAGTCGATGCTGTGAACTGGCTTAAAACAACGAATTACACACTTCTTGATAACCAGGGTAAATACCAGAATAAATTGACTAGAATTTCGCATTAAGAAGATTGTCATTAGCCGGCTGTAACTTAACATACGTTAAGGAGAAAAACAAAATGTTATTAACTCAGAAACAGTACCTGATAGAGAAATTTGGTAACTAAGTTTGAAACCATTGCCGAAATACTTAATGTAAATGATAACAATCTCTACATATAATAAAAGAAAGAGTCTCTGTGTGTGTGTGTGTGTCTTTCGTTCGCGAGACCCACGGCTACGAAATTTGGTACATAGTTGCAACTAGACAAGAGCCAGTGCACCTCGAAGCGATTTTTTCGAAATTCGAATTATTATTTTTTTTTTTTTTTAATTTTATATTTTGTGACGAAATCGCGTCATTTTGAGACATGATGGGCTATAGGAAAGTGAGATTTTACTCTAGACACTCCATTTTCACATCGTCATGAAACGTAGGCACTTAGCTATTTTACGAACTTAAAATAAATTTCGTGTTCCAATAAATTGGTTAAATACGAATT